AGAGAGAGACAGAGAGAGAGAGAGAGAGAGAGAGAAAGAGAAAGATCACGTGTGCGTGGATAAACATTACAGCGAGAGATCCTTATCAATTTACTCATCACATCGATCAAGGAGCTAAGATAAATTCTGATCTTATATTTGTGCGACTTTGTAATATATTTCCCTCATTTATAATATTATTAAAGAATTGTACAACAGTTGCAAAGTTAATTTTTCTGCTGAACGTAGCCAACGTTTTGAAATATTCTCTGATCAATTAATATATAAATTTCTTTCTTCGGGTTAGTCAATCAAATATTTCGAAGCATCTGTAGCGCCAATTGGACCGTACACTAAATTGACAAATATAAATTTAAAATATATAATATAAAGTAAATATAAAAGTAACTATTATGTTAGTTACTACAGTTACGTAAGCTAAGTTACAGTCATAGATGGAAAGAAAATACTAAAGTTAAGTTACAATTATTGAAAATATTAACTCTATATAATGGTGATTTTGTTAAAAGTTACGAGTTACTTCCCATCCTTGATAGGAAAACGCCCTCTTTTATTCACGACCAAGTATATAGGTAAAGTAAACTTGTGTCGCAGGCACGGTCACGGTCCGCGTCTGTCTTCGCCTGTTCCGCTTGCTTGGATAGTTTTCATTCTCTCGCCGATAGACACGTCCGTCTCTTCTTCCTTTTTTGAGCATCTGCTTTGGCATTCGTAAAATATTATACTTTGGGATTTATATTCGAAAATTACATATATTTCTCTCTCTCTCTCTCTCTCTCTCTCTCTCTCTCTCTCTCTCTCTCATACACACACACAAAAACAAAATATTACATATATTATATACATACATAAACTTTTCTTTACTTGGAAGCGTTAATATATATTTTCGTTTAAGTTTAATTTATCTTGTGCTTTTTGCTCATATTTTTCCTTGATTAAAATCGTATTTTGTAATTTTGATTCTCTGAGATTGAATACCTACAACATTAAAGGTCTAAAACCGTACTCACACTAGCGATTGCGCGATTTTGATTGACGATTGAGGATTACTTTTCAATCAATTAGAGCAAAGCAGTCACCGATTGCTTTGCTCTAACTTAAGAGTGGATCGGGAATCAATCGTTGCGTCATTTATATATATATAATTGCTATAATGTCTTAACATAATGATTTTACTGCGAAACAATAGGTGCATTTTCTATTCCGAAACATCTAGATATGAAATGCGGATTGGTTGCTTCAATGATGGCACTCTTTATACGCAATCCTAATAAGCTGCGTTCGGGAATCATTCTATCCTATAGTTATTCACCGAATATTAAATAAGAATAAATTAATACCTGAAGGTACTCGGCGTGTATTTCCGAACTATTACGCATTGTGTGATTTTACTCAAAAATCGCCCGGAAAATATGAATATGGAAGAGACTCAGTGGATGCATCCGCAGAAGCGATGACCATTCATTGAGCAAGAAAGGGGAATTAATATGTTTATTTATTATAATATATTTATAATGTGGAATAATTTATCTGTTATAAATAATCTTTAATTTTATATTTCTCACTTATTTATTATTATTAAATATAACTTATCGTTGTATATAAATAACTCACAGTATACTATATTACGAATATAATAAATAAACATATTAATTCCTTTGTTGCACCCATGTCACTCTATTTATTTATGTCCATGCTATTGTTTTTTTATGTGTATGTACCATTTCCGAAATTATTTATTTACTATAAGAATAGTTCATTATCTACAATTTCTATATAAGCCCATGATAAATTTATGATTACAAGTAATACGATGATTAATTATGATGATGGTGAACCTATTTTTTTTTTTATTAATATCTAATTGAAGTTCCAAAATCCTCGTTTCAAGCTGTCTTTTAATTTGTTCTATGTATGTGGTACAATATTTTATATACTTCAGCTCGATCATTGTACCTATAAATAATCGTTTCTCTTTTTAATGTATTTATTGATGAGAGAATATTGGAGATCTCGCGTAAGCAATTTTTAAATTGAATTCGGAGACCTATAGGAATTTAAATTGAAATCGAAATAAAAACAGTGAAATATCTGTCTTATTTTTAGCTTTTTAGCGGATTCTATTTCACTTTAACAACAAATCCATGTTCTTACGAATTATATACTCGAAAGAAATTTTGAGAGATTTCGCTGCGATATCAAATAATTTATTACGCGTTAGCAAAGTTCGATCGCTTTCGCGTCGAATTTGCGACATTAGCTGCAATTGTGCGGCGACAGCAAATCCTTATTCTTCCTATACGTACATAAAATTGTTGGAAAACTTAATAAATAAAAAAAAAAATGTAAAAGCCAACAGCTTTTCTGGCGAATCGGTTGAGAAATGGTTATGACGGGAGATTTTGTCAAGAAAAGAGGAAACGGGAATTAGGTGACGCGTAATTTGGCGTACTCTCGTAGTTGACTCGGCACGCATATCCTATCTCGCCGCTGGAATCCTCATATGTCTGTCAACGTGGCCCTCCAACACCTCGGGACTTCGCCTCGGATCCACTTTGCTCGCGAGCGAACGAGCGGGTGCTGCTACAGAGGCGCTGCTACGACGAGAGACACACAAACGATATCTCTCGCGTGTCCCCTGTCCCGTCGTAGCGGTCCCAGCTGGACCAAAATATCATCGGCAACCGGAGACTAGTGGGTAGTGGCCAGGGATTCAGGGCCGTATATTCGCCGCAGGACTGTGTGCCACGAACTCCAGTGCCTCGGATTAATTCTCTATTCAGACTCATTTTAAATCGACTGACCTGTTATTCTCGAAAAATACTTAACACAATTGGCCTAGTTTGTATCGTGCACTTAATTAATACAGATACTGTAACTATATAGTAACTTTCTATCGAATTATCTTTAATTTCGGCGATACAAGTAAACATATATATACATGATGTATTTAATTAATTATTTTGATGCTTATGTAGTGCATCACGCAGGCTTTAAGTACATTGCTGAAATTAATATAATTTAATAGAAAAGTTACTATAGTTAATACGCGTACCAAGTGTCCGGTGTAAAAGGGGTCTCATTAATTACAATTGTCTACGCGCGCGTAAAAAAAACAAAATTATTTTTTGTTGCACGTACACGTACGTGTGTGCGTGTGCGTATAACGATTTTTACTGCTGGGACCAGGCGGCGAATTATGTTTAAAATTTTCCAACTCGCGCCGTGCGTTTGTAACAGAGCAGAGAGAAACCTGGAAGAGTGGATATACGAAGGCCTTTTATCTGCAACGCCAAAATGCCTTGCGCACTATATATCGCACTCTGAAGAAGTGGATGTCAATTACACAACAATATCCACCTTTTTACGGCGCTCCTGATGGAAATATAAATCGCTGAAATCGTTAAAATCTTTCTTGATTTGATAAACTTTCGTTATTTCAGTGATTTCCAGCGATTTAAATTTCCATAACAGGAGTGTACAAAAAAGTGGATATTGTTGTGTAGTTCACATCTACTTCTTCAGAGGGCAGCATTTTGCGGTTACAGGAAAGAGGCCCTCATTACAGGAAAATGTCCTCTTTCAGGTTTCTCCCTGATTGCAGCCGCAGGCTTGTAAGGGCCTGAGCATAAAGATTGTCGTCTGTTTTCGACAGAATCGTGAGTCAATGCAAGGACCGATACGAACATACGTCGTAGGCCGTAAGGATCTTTACGACAATCATGACCCGCGACTCCGTCCGGAAACCGTTACGACAATCTTTTATACTCAGACCCTAGATAGACTCCGGGATGCATTCAGGAATTATGCTCGTATAACTGTTGGATGAAGTATTTCCATTCTATGCATCTCTTAACCATTCTGCTGGCTTTATTTTTGTCATAAGGACACGCTGGGTCGCTTTTATAAGTCTATACGGTTGGAGCCAAAAAATTATCTAAAATAAACTTTCTAAAACGCGCGAACTTGCATCATTTATTCATATTTAGAATTTTTAGCTTTTCAACTGTTAATTCCGAACCTGCTTTACTGAATTACGTGGAGCGACTCGGACGAGATGGCGACACGTGATACAGCAGGTGTTGCGTATCATACGTCGGTAACGTTAATTTTTTACACTTGAAGTATTTGCTTTCTTTCATCTTTTTTTTCGACAACCGAATATATAGATTTATGTTAATTTTGGAGGATTTTAAGCAACAAGCTGTGCGTTCAGCAGAAAAAGCAGCTTTGCAACTATTGCAAAATTTTTTAATACGATTGCCCTTCCTCCCTTAGTTTCTCATTGGATCTAAATATGTATAAATCAATCATATTCAAGAACTTTACTGCAGTTGCGAAGATGTTTTTCCTGCTGAACGCGCAGTTCGGCAGCTATTGTTACGATGATTCATGATACGATTGCTTCTACGATGGTAGAATGTAAATAATCTCAAGAAGTATCTTCGTTAGAAAAGAAATTGGACGTAATGTGACACGCACGTGGTTGCACTCAGCAGATTTGCGATAAATGAATATTTCGTACACTAGTAAGTGCTTCGTGTTCGTGCTTATATATGGTGATCATTGAGGAGAAAATTCCTTTACATAACCTCAATCAAACTAGCGTGAAAATCGTACTATCGACACTAATCAAAATGCGTAAGTACCAACGTAAATGTGACTCATCTTTCGATTTTACGAATAAATCAAATAAAGCTAATCTTTTTATCTTCCAAAATAGAAATGTCTTCGCAAACTATTCCAATCATTTTTCTAAATCATTTGACTCTTGTCATTTCTATATCAACGTTACTTCTTCAGATTCCATTACGGACAGTCCGGGTTCTAAAGCCCTCGAAGCTGCTAAAAATATTAAGGACTTGGCTGTATTCAAAAAGCCTATCGGACCTGTTAAGAGGAGCAAAAGTACACAACCAAAGATTTTAGATGAAGACACATATATCGAAAAAATGAGCGACATTATACAAAAAGATTTCTTTCCGCACTTGGAAAAGCTACAGGCACAAAATCAGTATTTAGATGCTTTAGAGCAGAATGATATGAACAGAATGAGAGAGTTATACGCAAAATATAGCTCTGGTCAACCTGTCACTGAAAGGCCAATCAGTCCAGCGACTTTCGAAACCCCATTGCGCAGAGCTGAGTCAGATGAATCGCCGCCTACCACTGAAGCATTGTCTCAAAAAACGTCTGTTGAGTCCATAAATAGGGATGATAATGAAAATAAGATCGGTCTGGATGATTATTTGAGTACTCACACGAGTGAGGATAATGCTAGTTTTGAAGAGATGATGGTTGAGGCTGAAAACAAACGTAAGCTCAAGTACGCCTGGCTTTATGAGGCAGAAGAGAAGTCGAAAGCGTGGCTTGCTATAGACGGACCCGTCACTAACGTCCCAGCTATCGAATCGAATCTCAGACCCAAACAAGTGGACAGTTGGGCTTATAAAAATAAGAATTACATTATGTACATTCCCGATGGAGTTGAACTTACAGCGAAAGAGAAAATAGAATTGGCCAAGAAGAAACAGACTATAATGCACGAAAATACGAGGTTGCGAACAAACCCATTCAATGAGCAACAGAATAAAGAGACCATTGACGAACTCGCCAAGTCACAATCCAAAGCTAACGACGGCAAGATTGGTGTGGATGGTAAAGAAGTTGTCAGAAATGCGACGCCACGAGTGAATGGTTTTAGTTTTGTGGCTACGCCAAGTCCAAGACCGGGAGAATGCGAAAGTCCATTGATGACATGGGGTCAGATCGAAGGGACACCTTTCCGATTAGATGGTGGTGACACACCATTATTAAGGACGAATCAGGGACCCTCTTTCAGAATAGCAGAACCACCGAAAAGAGAACAGCTGGCATTGCAGTTGGCTGAGAAGGCTGGTGAGAGATACAGGGATCGAAAAAATAAAGCCTTAGAAGCTGCCAGGAGATCATTAGCAACGTGAGTGATATTTAACATTTCGCGAAATGAATTTTGTCGGATAAAATAAGTGTATAATGTACATGTGAGAAGGATTTACAAGCAATTCTTTCTTATTCTTTCCAGTCCATCACCGAGATCAACCATAGATCGTCTGAGCACGATGTCTCCTGCAGCAAGAAGATTAGCCACCCAGAGACTGCGCGTATTGAATACGCCATCTCCTCGGCGAACGCCATTGTCCAGGACTTCGTCTGTAGGAGGCATCAAGACACCTAATACACCACGTGCGAACGTATCGGTTAAAGAAATCACCTCTCAGAAATCGGAAACTAATTCCACGCGGATACAAGGACCTGTACTCACCGATAACTTACTTAATCTACCTCCGCAACGACAACGAGCATCAGATTTCTTTAATAAATGAGAAAATTTATGTCTGAACATTTGTATGTAGAACGATCGCACATGAGATTGTATATTCGAACGACATACATCAGTACATCAAAGTATAGCATCGATCGAATTTGTTTATCTACATTAAAATAACATTAAAGAGACAGTCATGTGTATATGTATATTGTGTAAATAATGTAATTATGTAGCTTTTGTAATATAACTAGCACGCAGCGCGCGCCTTTCATATCTTTCGTTTATTAATATTATTTTGATTATTTTAAATATTAAATTAATTGTTTTTTTGCTAATATTTTAATAATAATTTAGTAACAATTCTTTTTCGATCGATTTTCTTGCCGTGTTCGTGGTTGAAACATTGTACCCGTTAGCACACCCTAAATAATATACAATCTCACAATTTTATCATTTATTCGTGGTTACAATAATACATTTTCATTTGCTTCGTTTAATGCGAAAATATCAGATTTTAGTACACAAAGACGTGGACCTTATTGTTTCAAAATTCAAGGACAAATTTATCAAATTAATACTGCATTATATCCCACACCTAATGAAATGCCAAGCTATGGACAACTTTTTATCATAGATAATATACAATCTCACAATTTTATCATTTATTGTAGATTCAATGTAATTGTTTATATTTATCAAATTACATGTATCAAAACCAGTCTCTTCCCGTACTTCTCGAATAGCACAATCATATGGCTCCTCACGATGATCTAGTTTTCCTTTAGGAAAACCCTAATTATTATTTACTCAGTAGTTCTGCACCAAAATCACCTTCGTCATGTCTTCATTCAATATAATCGCTCCAAACGTCGGCACATAATGAAGAAATTAAGATTTCGTATTAAACGAAGCAAATGAAAATGTATTATTGTAACCACGAATACGATTATAAAAATAATCTGATTTTGAATGATTTCCAGTAAATAATTCATAAAGTTCAAACGGAGGTTGTAGTAAAGGCAATAAACCTATCAAACTCAACACACTTCTTCAACGAAGTTCTTTTAATTCGGATCTTATTGAATGTCGCTAGTCTTCTTACAGGCATTATACAGGCACTTGTTATGTCTACAGTTATTTTCTACTATATTTAATTTTGAAGCTTTCTATATTTGAAATTTTTATACAAATCATAAATTGTATCTTTATTTATCATCTTAGGTTAGATTTGTCAAAAGAAAATGTAAAGGATATACAAATTCTCTCGAACACTCTTTTCTCTAACAGTAATACTAACTATAAAAGAATTTTCGAAATACCTTGTATTATATGTATACATGTGTGTGTGGAAAATAGTCATTAAGTATAAAATGTTCGTTATTATTATTAATAGCAACCGTAATTTTGTTAAAAAAAATAAATGAAATTTAAATTTAATAAAGAGTTTTAAAATTGCAAATTTCTATTTTTAAAAGGAAAACGCTGCTTTTGGGGGTTTCTGTGAGTTCAGTAATTTTTATATGTAGAAAATTATGAGCAGGATAAAATGCAAATTTCTTTTTGTTACTTTGTGGGCTTGTCACAGTCTTAAAAAAAAGTTTGTGAAAATTTTCGACTTTCTAACATAAAAGCTTAAAAACTTTTCCTACAAAATAATTTTTTAAAACGAATAACAAAAATGAAAAACGGACTCAATTGTTAAAATGAAACAATAATAACTACACTGAGAAAAATGTCCAATGATCGGTAATAACCGTTCTACACAGATATGGTAATCAAGATACGATGTGCTTCCAAAGATATGGGACAGTCAATTGATTCATATTTGTATTGCATTGTAATTTGCGCTGAAGATGACTCGAATTGAGTTCGAATCATGTAAGATATTCAATAAATATTGTAAATATATTATAATTTGTTATGCAAATCTTTAACTTGCGAATTGGACTCTTACTTGCCCGTTTATTGTTGTAATTATAGTTTATTTGAATAATTTTTATTACTATTAATCTAGCAAAAACTAGATTAATAAAAAAATTGACATTTCACATATTAATGATCTAATAAAATATTTTGCTGTAAATTTTACAAGAAATTCTTTCTTTCAACTTCTTCCTCGTGATATTATTACGAAATCATCCTGAAATATTTTCCCGATATTTATATCTTATCGCGCATTTGTAATACTGATAATTTATAATAAAGTAGTCGTCTAAATATAGTGTTAAAAAAACTATACAGGGAAAAAGAAGACCGCGTGGTCGTAAGATTAAAGGTTTTGACCCTTTTCTTTCATCATTTATGGAAATTCTATGTGCATTCTTCACATTCATCCTGACAGCTTTCCGCTTTGTTTATCGTACGTTAATCACATAAATACGGAAATGAAATCAAATAACTCGGACGATCCGCGCGTTTCCTCTACAACAAAACGGATGATTATCTTTGCGGTGCGTGAAAACGCGCGCCATGTAAAACTACATGTAAAACGAGTCTTTTCGCACGATTTATTCGAACGTGTGAATTGAGGAAGTGACAATAAAGGCATAATAAATTGTTCGCATAAACGTTGCAACAGGAAGTATGCGGGCATACTCATGTCGTCCAAACAATCATTGTTGATCGATTGCAAAATCGTCGCGCTCGCTAAAAAGCCTGGCGGCTTATCATATAAATATAGAGTCAAAAAGAAGAAAAGGGGAAAAAGGAGAGAGAGAGTATTATCGTCAAGATTATAGATATGAGGTCCTCTCTGAGATTAGGAGTAGCCCTGCTCCTGACGATAGCGACTTCGTCCATCATCCAGTCATGCAGATCAGAACATACGTGTGGAAGTTTAGGCTCAGGTACGTCGATTGCATTTATTCGTTAATCGTCCCCATCGCGTTCTTTGAGGAAAAAACGAGGAGACTTCTTTATGCCATCTGTGTGGTTTCTTTTATTTTTTAGGCATTAATGCGTGCAAATGCGGAGAAATAGTGGTGAAATCGGCGAAGGTGCGAAAACCGCTGTTTTACGCGTCGCCGGAAGCAATCAACGAAGCTGCAGCGGCACGCGAAGCGGTTGGAAGATTGTCCGTGGGATCGGGACCGTGGCAGTCTGAAAGCAAATCGTATACCACCAGTGGAGCATTTAGCAGCAGCAGCAGCAGCAGTTCTTCGAGGTCTTCGTCTTCCGGAGGAAGTCTTGGAGTAGGCAACGCTCGAAGCTTACCCTTCAATTTCGTCTCGGATAGAGTCACTTCCAGTTGCGGATGTGGAAAGGGTACCTCCGAATCTCTGGAGGTTCGCGACCTCCTGTCCTCTAATGTTGAAGGAAAAGTCGTGCCCAGGTATTCTATATGCCGCATGTATTCATCATTTCACGATTTCACGATTATATATTAGGTCTTACTCGATGATTTTATCATTTGTCGCGACAGTTTTCCACCGATCGGTGATCTGTGTTACCCGAGCCAGCCTAACAGTTACAAATATCAATTGACCACCAAAGTGACACCGGCATATCCTGGCAAAGTGAAATGCGCTCCTCCCATTCCTTACAAGGTTTGCGTCAAAGTACTCAATGGACAGGTCGACGAGGCAGGATTGAGGGAACTCGGTCTGGCGACCGGTGGATCGATCCGCGGCGGAAGCGCGAGTGTTTTCGACAGTTATCTTTCTAACGATGTAGCCAAAACAACGCGATATGGATCGCACACGGGTGCTGGCTCAGGTTCGACCGCATACGGATCGTACGCTGGTGCTGGCTCAGGTTCGATCGCATACGGATCGTCCACGGGTGTTGGCACAGGTTCGACCGCATACGGAACAGGGTACGGAACTGGGTACGGATCGTACGCTGGTGCTGGCGCAGGTTCGACCGCATACGGAACAGGGTACGGATCGTACGCTGGTGCTGGCGCGGGTTCGACCGCATACGGATCGTACGCGGGTGCTGGCGCAGGTTCGACCGCATACGGAACAGGGTACGGAAGAGGATACACAGGTGCCAACGCGGGCTCGATCGCATACTCATCTGCAGGTATCAGACGGTCGGACGTTGCTACGTCAAACAACGTCGAGACGTACCAAGGATCGACCAGATCTAGCTGTGATTTTGGCGATGACGCAGGTACGTCTCTCAGTAATCTTACTTGATATAATATCCAAGATATAAGTCTTTCCGTTTACTTATTCATACTATAATCGGATCTAAGTCTACTAAAGTCGGATCTGAGTGAATAATCCAGTTTCATAAGATTGATATAAACGAAACATTGCGTGAGATGTGACGTTTGTTTGTATATTTTAGAAGTTCCCGAAGACTATTCGTATCCTGGACTGCCAGCGGATCCGGTGTCAGTCACTTTGGCGTATAAAAATCTCTTCCCGCGCACCGTGTACTACAACAAGAAAACATTCGTGCCGGAAGACAAGCTGGCGTTCGGTCATCGAACCGTGCCTACCGAGGCGACAGTCAGTAAATTTGTGCCGGATATTCCCGAGGAAAAGCTTCAGATCCTCGAGAAACCCGTTGTAGAGTTGAAGGAGGTGCCACAGGCACCTGTCACCGTTGGCACTTACGACGAGCACGAACAAGCAAAATTGGCGGAGCTCGAGGCCATCGAGCGCGAGAGGATAAATCGGGAGGAGATCGCCGAACAGCAGCGAGGGAACTTTATCACGTACGGGTAAGTACCGTTAACAAGTTCTGAACTTGGTGCGGAAATTGAGTCAAGTGTGTTTGTACTTTCACGATACAACACTTTCCGAGCTTTGCTGTCAAATTAGGTACTTTACGCAACGCAAAAACGCATGGCGTGTTTCGTTCTTAGATTGATCAAACTATTGAATTCTTACATTGAAAAGACGTCGCTTAGTTTCGCCACCTCTCTCGCTACTTAAATAAAATCTCTAATGTTTGTAATTTAAAGATGCGCGGGTCTATTTTCGAAAATGATTATTATCCACACTTGCGTGCGTGAGTGTAGCATTTGTGTAGCAATTAAAGAATCCAGCAAAACGCTAATTCCGAGATAAATATGTATTTTGGCGAATAATTGCTTTTAGAGATCTGGGATATGCGCCAATCAACAGACCCTTACCGGTAAATTCCGCTGGCGAATTCAACAACGTGGAAGACGATGCCGGAGCAGATTGCGGTCCGACAGGACCACCAGATCCCGATTACGTTCCTGGCAGCGTTGTGATCAATCGAGAAGAAATCGTAAGAAACGGACACCGAGTCGACGATGACTCCCTGAGAAACGATAGATCGGACGTTGATAGAACGGACGTTGATCGTCACTATGATGGAATTAGCGACGACGACGAGGAATATGACAGCGGCGAGTC